GGCTCAAGTATAGCAGGGATTGTGGGGCTGGTGCGGGATCGGGCAGTGTTTCGTTCTGCTGTGCATGGGGTCTCTATGAGTCGGAAATGACTCGACGGCACTTAACAACAACAACACTCTAGCCCTTCCTTCCAATCTGTGTTCAAATGTTACCTAAGTGGAGAGGTCTTCCCTGGCCACATTTTATAAAATACCACAAATACACATACACCACCCTCTATACTCCTTGCCTTGCTTTATGCTTTTTCATTGCACTTGTACTTATCACCATCTGACATATATTTATCTGTCTGTCTCCCCACATTAGAACATAAACTGCTTTCCCCACTGTTGTATCCCTATACCTAGAACAGTCCCTGGTTTGTTGAATAAGTAAATGAGTTAATAAATAGACTGGATTCTAATTCCACTCTCCTACTAACTCCACTCAGTGGGGACAACAGTTTATGTTTTAATGTGGGGAGACAGACAGATGAAAATATATATCAGATGGTGATAAGTATAAATGCAATGAAAAAGCATAAAGCAAGGCAAGGAGTATAGAGGGTGGTGTATGTGTATTTGTGGTATTTTATAAAATGTGGCCAGGGAAGACCTCTCCACTTAGGTAACATTTGAACACAGACTGGAAGGAAAGGCTAGAGTGCGCCCTATAGAAACCTGAGGGGAGAGCATTCCTTGAGAAACCAAACCAAAACCTACTGCCACTGAGTCTATTCTGACTCATAAGGACTTCTAGTGGCATAGTGCCTAAGGCATTTGACTGCTATCCAGAAGGCTGGCAGTTCAAACCCACTAGCCACCACTTGGAAGGAAGACTGGGCAATCTACTTCTGTAGAGATACCACCTCAGAAACCCAAGGATGGGTCACTATGAGTTAGATCTGACTTTGGGTTTTTGGTTGTTGTTTTTTTTTTTTTTTTTTGGACTGACATGTAATCACATGAAAATCATGTAAATTGTCTGCCTTCTGAGCTTCTTTAAAAAAATTAGGCTAAGAGTAGAGCTGATTAATTTAACTGAAATGCTGAGTGCAGGAACTTTCCATAATGATGAATTTATCGCAGTTGTTCCCTGCTTCCCAATCATCCTCAAAGGCCTCTTCTCTCCTCTTCGTGCTCCGTGCTAGTGGTGCCATCTGATGGCTGACATGCAGACCAGCCTGGCCCAGCTTCTGTCCCTTCTATGTCTTCCCCTTGGAGTCTACTGTCATGTGCCTTCCTGCCCACATGGCTTTTCACTGCTTGTTGCTTAATTAGTTTTATCTTAAAAACCAAAACCAAACCCACTGCTGTCGAGTGGATTCTGACTCATAGTGACCCTCATTGGGTTCCCAAGGCTGTAAATCTTTACAGAAGTAGATTGCCTCACCTTCCTCCTGCAGAACAGCTAGTGGGTTTGAATCTCTACCCTTCTGGTTAGCAACTAAAGATCTTATCCACTACGCCACCAGAGCTCCTTAGTTTTATCTTGAGCAGTCCTTTTCTCTCATGCACATCCGTTTCCCTATCTCTGACTTCTCTTTTTTAACTAGTTATCTCTGAATCATTTCTCTCCTTTTTCTTCCATTATTTATAAATATTAGCCCCTAATTATGATTGATTGACAGAAGACTAGTACTTGGAAAAATATGCTTCTTCCAAAGAAAATGAGATACACATTTTTAAATTAAATTGGATGTAAAACAAATGCCTTCATAAAGTTTATAGATGTCTTTATCTACTTATTTATTTTCCTTTGTTTTTTCTTCAAATACTTGATAGCTGAGTGGTACATGAATTTCTCATTCAGTTTTATTTAACTTCCAGCATTGCAGATATATTACTTTCTACTTCTCATCAGAAATATTTAATTGTACATTAAAACATGGAATACCATGTTTTAATGTACAATTAAAACCAGAAAAGGGACCGAGGAGACAACTGCAGACTCATTTTAAGACTATTCTGGGTACCTAGCCATAATTAATGCTAAGTTTCATGTATAGGAAAAATGTAGTTGACTTCCATATAAACACCTTAAAAGCAATTTTTCAAAATACAACCTGTGCTTGTGTTGGACATTTCTCATGCCATTGTTCTGTGTGTATATAGTTAGGGAAAAAATTATTTTTCCTTAAATCATTATAATCCAGGATTTCCCAGAGTATGTTCTGCAAAACACTGGTCTCTCAAAATGCTTATTTGGGAGTTGGGGACAATTCTGTCATCAGATAAATTAGGAGGTATGTGATATGCTATATACCACTCTGAAAGTTTATAGTACACATCAGAAATACATTTACATCAACAACAAATATACCTATTTAGTTTTGTTTAATCATTGTTTGGTTTAATTTCGTTTAATCTTTATATGACTAAGGTTGGGCAATCTACTTCCATAGCAATACTGCCTCTGAAACCCAAGGAGGGGTCACTATGAGTTGGATCTGACTTGATGGCAGTGAGTTTGGTTTTTTGTAAACCCCATTCTCATAAAGGTTTTGTTAATATCCCATTGAACGCACTTTGAGAAACACTATGATTATTTAATCATTCAGAAAAACAAGAACTGATAATATTAGCTAATTTTGTTGAGAGTTCCATATATAACAGATACAGTTTTCATCATTTAAATTACATATTTAACCATTAAAAAAAACTTTTAAGGTATAGGTACTATTATTATTTCCCTTTTATAATGAGAAAAGAGGAGGTTCTGTGGGTTTAGTAACTTGTCCAAGAGTCACATGGATAGTGGGGTAAACATTTGCATCCAGGCATTTCCATGTCATCACCTGTGACCTTTGATGACTTGGAAAAAAAGTCAATGATGTGATTTATAAACGCTCAACTGATAAAAATGAGTTTTTTTTTTTTTGTTGTTTCTTTGTTTTAATTTGGTTGTTTTTGTACACAGATATTGCTGGAATTACTTTTCCTCAGAACCTGAGTGGATACTCTTTGTTGCCATTATCATCAGAAACATTAGAACACAAATTCAAACACCTACATCCACCTTGGATTCTGAGTGAATTCCACGGATGTAATGTGAATGCTTCCACCTACATGCTTCGAACTAACCAATGGAAATATATAGCCTACTCTGATGGTGTTTCAGTGTTGCCTCAACTCTTTGGTAAACTTGTTGCTATATTTTTTCAATTGTAATATGACACAGCCTTGCTCAAGAGAGCCAATAATCATTAAATAAATGAATACTTGCTGCTTCTGAAGCCGAGACAATCTACCTAAGGTTGGCCAGGTGCAGAGGAGCAGTTTCTTTGCAAATCAGCATCTGAATTTCAGAATAAGTGCTGTTAAAGCTTCTGGTCTAGGTCTTGTGATGGAAACCTCTGTTATGTCTAAGGAAAATGTATTTTAATACTCATGATTATCTTTTCCAATCAGCAGTCAAGATTCTGTCATTGTCTCTTGGTTTCAGCTGCTCCAGAGGATTAAGACTTGTTTATGGAGCCTGATTGTCTACATATATTATTTAATCTTCTCCACAACCCTACAAGATTATACCATTATCTTCCTGTTACTGGAGTGGTCAGAGAAATTCAGATACCTATACAAGATCTATCACACCTAAGAAGTGATAGAACTGAGATTTCAATCCAGGTCTGACTCAAAACCACAAACCTTTTCCACATTATAAAAAATACCCACCAGCTTCACCATTCTGTGAATTAATTTTAAAACAGCATTATTGGATTTAGAGTTTTACTTATCATTTATCCCCATTTTGTACTTAAAATATATGCTAAAGCCATTATTAATATTCATTTCTTCCTAACTTCCTTCCCAGTTACAAATGTCACAGTTATTAACTCAGAGTAATTCTTTAGGCACCACACTGACTGACTCCCTTAGCTCTTAGAGGAATTCTTAACTTCATAAAGGAAACCCTTAAGTTTCAATCCTAATGAGTAATGGGAAATCTCCTGACTATTTATTCATTGGCCATGTTCTACAGAAGGCAGATATGACTATCAAAGGATCAGTGTGGGAGTTAGCCTTTTCTTCATTCTTTAGGGTTTATTCACTGGCTTCCTTTTCCCAAAGAGCTACCATCTGAAGTCACCTAGAAAAGCCATGTATGTCTTCAAGGGTCTCCTGAGTAAAGTACTCAAATAAGCCCATGGGAGGGTTTTCCTCAATACATATTGTTCATTTCTTAAGACATAAGATCTTTCCTTTGCTTTTTTCCAATTAGCTTGGCATCCTAATTACATTCTGTCTTCCCATAGCATATGTAAAAAGGGTTTTTTATGTATCTGACATATTTATTACTACTTTCTTGCTGGTAGTGATTGAGAGTCCCTCCCCATCCCATGGCTCTTTGTTCAAATGAACAGTACTGATGAATATAATTTTTAGATAATCCAAGAGCAAGATGCTGACATATAAAGAAAACTAGAACTAAGTGAAGTTTCAAGAACATGTCTTAGCTATATCAAGAATTCTTATATCCAGAAAGTTTTGAGCTATTGAAATGGGACAATATAAGCTTTACTAAACTTTTTTTTTTCCTCTGCATGTCAAAGTAGGCAAGACATTAAAACAAAGAAAGAAAGAATTGGGCTTAGGCGAGTTTACTGCTGGAAAAGATTTAGCTGTTCCTGACATCTAAGAATGGATGAGAAAAAGAATAGCAAGATGATGGGAGAAAGGAAGACCACCGTGGCATGTTAGAATAAAATGTGCATGTTATTTTACCATTTATATTGTCCTTCATTTACTACAATAAGAGAAACAGAAAATAAAAATAAATTCTAATACATTATCTGTCATAGAATGTTTTCAGAGAAACATTCTCAAAAAATGTTTTTTTCAGCAGATAATTATGTTGACAGGTATTTATTTTTTCTTTCAGATCTTTCCTGGGATCCAGATGAGCTAACAAATGTTGCTACAAAACTTCCAGATATTGCTTATTCTTTAGATCAGAAGCTTCGTTCTATTTTAAACTACCCTAAAGTTTCTGCTTCTGTCCACCAATACAATAAAGAGCAGTTTATCAAATGGAAACAAAGTATAGGACAAAACTATTCAAATGTTATAGCACATCTTCGGTGGCACCAGGACTGGCTGAAGGAACCAAGGAAGTATGAAAGTGCAATCAACCAGTGGCTTAAAACACCACACTAATCCAAGTTTGAACAAAAACGTAGAAAAAATGTTCTAGAGCTACTTATTAATAGTTAAAATATCATAATCATATAAAACATTATAGTTTTAGCATTACTTTAATACAAAATGTCAGTGATTGAAGAATTCTATATTTTCAAAAATGGCTACTACTAAAACCTCATTCTTATAAATTTCTGACAACTTCATAGAAATATTACAAGGTTGGAAGCAAACACTATAATATAAAGCCATGTTCCTCAAAATAATATAGAATATTTTAAGATTTATAGATTATTACATATGAGCCATAGAATAGTTGTTTGTATTTGATGGGACATAGACAGTTTGCTCAAACCTGGCTATGGCTGATATTATTATTGTGTTTTTAAATAGGTAATACATGCACAAGGTACAAGCTTCAAAAGATGCAAAAACGTTAACCCAGAGTATGAATTCCCCTCCTTTCCCAGTCCCCAGCCACCAAGTCTCCCTCCCCAGAGGCAACTATTGTAACCTTATGTATGTATTTATAAGCTAACATTCGTATCTTTTTTCCCACATAAATGCTGTGTATCTTGCTTTTTTCCCCACCTAACTATACTGTTTTCCACAGTGGTTGTATCATTTTACAGTCCCACCAGCAATGTATGAGAGTCTCAATCTCTCCATAGCCTCACCAGCATTTGCCATTTTCTGTCTTGTTGAACTTTGCCATTAGTGCTGGGGTGAGATGGTATCTGTTTTGATTTGCATCTCTCTGATGAGTAACAATCATGAGCATTTCTCTGTGTATTTGCTGGCCTCCTGAATATCCTCTTTGGTCCTTGGGCTTGTTAGCCTCAGCAGCAAGTAGCTGCCAGAATGAAGAGATGCCTCTAGCTTCAGTGGTCCAGGAGCAAGAGGCAGACCTGAAGCCCAAGGTCAAGGGGCTTTCACATAACCCCTAGAGCCTGGACTTGGAACTCGGACTTCTAGCGTCCAAAAATTGTAAGAATAAACTCCTGTTTGTTAAAGTCATCCCATGTGGTATATTCCTGTCAGAGCAGCACTAGGTAACCAAAACATATATAAAACTAGTTATAAACATGGAAAGAAAGAGCAAGTTCTTAGATGCAAGGATCTAATACAAAACTGTCACTTCTCCAAAATTAATGTGTAAATTTCATGTATTTATGATTTTAATCCCAATAAAGTTTTTTTAATTGTTGAAAATTGTCTTAAAATTTTTATGGAAAAATTGATTCTGAAAATAGCTAATAAAATTATAGGAAAGAATGTTGTTGTTGTTGTTATGTGCCGTCGAGTCGGCCCCGACTCATAGCGACCCCTCCTTGGGTTTCCGAGGCAGTATCACTACGGAAGTAGGATTGCCC